CTGCATGAGTTGATACGCATGTGACCTTTACAAATAGAGGATTTTCGTAGGCTACTAATATTCAATCATAAATGTCTTTGCTCGTGTATTTTGGGACCATAGAGTTATTTTTCAATTGGAGTTATGGATATCATTGTTTTTACACATCGAAATCATGAATTAATCATTCAGTCAGCCAGTTACAACGTAGAACTTCGTACGTAAGTACATCAGTTCATGTTGCCATACCACATTAGCACAGAGATATAATTGTCAATTCAAATCCCATAGTAGTAGAGATAGTAAAAGTATTAAAACTAATCGGAGAGATTAGGGTTCGAAGATACGATTTAAGAAATATAATTCAGTGAGGTGCATTTAGAAAGAGAAAGATAGAGGTGATGATTAATTCAGAAGATTAGGATTTGAGAGAACACAAAGAATAAATGCACCGGCGCCATCGCAAACGGTTTTGAGCCATGTCATTCAGGGTCTCTAACCATCGATTATTATCATCTCGCGGACCCCAACCAGGTAACCCACATCTACCAACATGACTAAGTCCACTTGTCCGTGACTTGATGGATTTCTGACATGTTCGGTCGCCTCTAGCTTTCTTTCAACCTATTCCTATACCACAAAACATCGCTCGTCGAGGCAGTCAGTGGTTGGGAATTCGTAACACATGTCCAAACCACCTTAACTGATGAAGTTTACTTTATCTGTTGACCTGTCATCCTTACCTAGAACTCGTTTCCTAATATCAGCATTGCTTACTAGGCTGTCCCACGATACTCGAGCAATGCTTCGGAGACAACTACGATCGAAAACAATCAACCTACGAATATCCTCTACTCTCACCGGCCGTGTTTCACAGCCACATAGTAGGATGGAGCGAACTACTGCACAGTACACTCGTTCTTTAATCAGCAAATCGATATCTCGCCTACACCAGGCCATCGGCACTGATGAGACTCCCCAGATAAGTGAAGCGGTCAACACGCTCGACTACTTCTCTTCCTATCACTAGTTCAGGTACCGCCGCAAGCCAATCTTGAAGCAACATTTGCATTTCGAGGAGGAAAACTGCATCCCGAACATGCTTCCATTGTTGCATTTTGTCAGCGTCTTCACCTAATAGGACTATATCATTGGCATATTCTAAGTCAACAAACGAACCTCCTGGTAGAAGGTCTACTCCTGAAAATTCAGACGAAGATAATGTCATATCTAGAATCATTGTTAGACTACTATTAGAAATCTGGAAGCAATAGAGTTAGTAATTCTGAGGTTCAGAGTTCTAAGTAAGCACAAAAAATAGATTGGCAAGATTGTAAATTTTTATCGACTGAGATGGTTAGGACATGTATATTAAGTGTGACTATCCATCGACTACCTCGAAAAGCAATGATGACTGGAAGAGTAGTTTGGAAGAAAGCTTAAGGCCGCAAAAAAAGATGTGGCATTATCCCATGACGATGCTGATTATTCGAGCGAGCCATAAAGACAGATGCAGAATACCTAGTTGGAGTCCGCGTGATCACCATAACTAATATATACAAAGACTGTGAATGACATGGTCTAAAATTGTTCGCAACGTTGCAATTGCGCACAACCTGTCTTCACTTACATTCAAGTTTATAGATTTACATTTCGTAGAATTGTGTTCTTGATGCTATCTTCTCTACTACCACTAATGCTGTTAATACTTTTGACTACTCTGCGATTCGCCCTGACAATTTCAGCTCTCTGTGCTAATATGGTGTAGCAACTTGAACCGATGCACATGCATGCCAGGTTCGTTGTTGTGCTTGACTGATTACATCAACCAGGCATAAATTTGTATACTTAAGTTTGTACCACACTATACATTTGAAAGCTAGTGATTCTATTCGGTTGTCCGAACTAAAGCAGGTGGAGTAAGGGTTCGGAATTCGAATGTCTTAACTAATGACCCATTACTGCACAATTTACATATTCATTTGACGCTATATTAAAATAGGGTGCTTGTAATTTCCAAGTCGAAGAACTAGATTCAAAAGTACAGAGGGCACTGAGTACAGAATATATAGTAGGTACCGATAACCAAACTACGAAAACCTCTTATCCTTTACAATTAACAACTCATCTTGACAGCCGTTAGGTTGAAAGATTCATAGCCCTGAAGTACAATGGATTAGTAATATTATATATATATATATATATATATATATATATATATATATATATTTCCAAGGTAAAAAAGTAAATCGATTTCTGAATAACGTTTGAAGGATTTATTTGGACTTACACATGTTCATTTTCATCGATGCTGGAAGCATCCGACTCCCACACTGGATGTCTGATTAGATTAGTAAGTGAAGTCAAAACAGCAGGATTTCCGCCTTTCTCTGATTTATTCTTATTTACTTTATTGGTTGATATACTTAGACTTTTGAATGCTTCGTCTATGGCAAGTTGATTTTTATCAACTTTAGATAATTGAGACTTTGTTTTTTTCTTTTGCAGTAAAATTTGACTTGCGGAATTTTCGAACACAGAACAAATGTCACTATGAACTCTACGAAATTCAACTTGAGGTACAGAAAAATAATAATTACAATTCACAGAAATATTCATATTATTCTTGACATTTTCATCATTGAGATGAGGAATATTTTTCTGTCCAGACCATTTATCAAATCCTGTATATAAATAAATATGAATACGAAAAGAGTAGGGGTATTGAATAAAACAAATTAAGAATACAATATAAACTATACACTTAACAAACCAATTAGTAGTGAATGTTGTGTTGTCTATTCATCTTCATGATAGTCATCGATTTATATTGATAAAATTGTAACGTGACTATTCAATTAAATTACTTGTTAATGTAAGGAATTTTCTTTGGATATTCGATAGTTAAAACTGATAAGCCCAGGAATTGTGCTGGTCAGCACCTTTCAACAAGGTGTAATTTTGAAAACAATGATGTTACAAGAGTCTTATACACAGAGTTAGAAATATAATAGATAGGTAAAGAACATGTACTAAGAAAATGAATAAAGTTCACTATTCATTTTAACTAATTTCCAGTAACTCAATTATATTCTTGTTGTAACGCTTGCTTAGATAATTCCCAGCTAATTCCTATTGATTAGTATTCTCTGACCACAATACACTAGACAAGTTCCAAGAATCAAAAACACGGTGGAACAGGAAAAGATTATATTCCAAATGGCAAGGTTAAATGGAATAAGAAGCCGAAGGCGAAGGCGAAGGCAAAATAGATACAACGTTGGTATCTTTAGTTTTTTCATGAAAAGCTTCTGGATAGTAATTCACGTGATCAACTGGATCAGATTTAGCCGATCAGCGTGCAGCTAACAACACGAGAATTTTCTACCCTGTTCTCCAAGAATCGATCAGGCGCTGACTGGATAGGAAATTAGCCAATCAGCGCGCAGCAACGTAGTCATGCTTTAATTCGATCTATGTCCCACTAACAATACTATTGCCTTTTCATGTTCAGACACATTTTAAATTGAAACCTGCATTGCTTTATTTTTATTAAAAGTCGTTTAAATTATTTTACTGATATGAGAGTTCTCGATATTCATTCATTCATTCATTCAGTCGGTGTAAGCTATGTGAAGACGATTAAATGTGAACTATAAACATTCAACAGAAAAAATGATTCGACTAAGCTGATTTCCAACCAATCATTATATGCCAGTAATTTTAGATAATTGATTTTTCTAATCTGTAATTTTAGAATATACATTAGAATATACACTGACACCTGTCTGCTTTCTGTAAGTAATAAGAGATCAAATTAAACAGAATGTAAAAGCGTCCATTCAGCTAAGTTTAAAAATTGCAACTTACCTAATCTTTCCCATTCAACTTCAAAAGAGTCAACATAATTAACTATGCGTTTCTTTACTATCCTATAAGAAAAAAAAGTACGCTTCAATCAAAATAGGGGAGAAAAAATGTACAGGCCTGATTAAATTAAAAACTAGGCACGGGTAGCAAGTCAAATATGGTTGATTATCAAGCACCCAAAACCAATCAATAACTACAATTTATCAAAAATCTCTTATGTAAGATGTAAATCAGATTTAATAAAAAGTGGCTGATAATTGATTTGTTCACTTTCAGTTTGCGAACACTGAAACATACTTCTTAGACTGTGAAACGTTTTTTAGTCGATCACAATCAATATAGGTCCGTCCTACCACGAATATTTGGCAGTCTAAATTGTCACATACAACACTGTAACAAACTAGAAAATGAACAAAAAAGGAATGGCAAAGGAGTCGATACGACTCTAGTAGCAATAATAGTGAAAAAAGTTAAATATTGAACACGGTTATAGAAGGAGAAATGAAAACGTATGTATGAACGGATCCTGAAACTTACGATTTCAGAGAAAATAAGGAGTAAAACCAACTGACCTGCTGAAACGGATTTGGAGATATGTCACTTAACATCTCTAACTACCGATGTAAGTTATCCTGCAGACTGAGACCCGTTAGTTTAAATCTACTGATATAGCTCATTTCCACAGTTAATGGTCTGTATAAACTGATGAAAAGACTTGATTTGATCGTCTTTTTCCGTCTAATCTATAATTGTACCAGCCAACATTGCTTGTCGAAGTAGTTAGTGGTTGGGCACAGGTGATGGATCTTCTTCCAGCCACTTCAGCTGATGAACATTCACAAGCTTATCAACCAATCGATAGTAATTGCCTGCAACCGTACCCATGCTGACCTGGTGGTCCTGAACTACTTGACTAATGCTTTGAATAAACTTACTATCAAGAAGTAGTAACCTAGGAGTGCTATCTACTTCTAAGTGACACGTTTCATACCTCTGAAGTGAAACAAGGAGAGCTACTGTTCACCATACTTGCACCTTCGTTGTCAGAAAAACACCTCTCACCAACGCAATACGTGTTACTTGCCAGCAAACGCCGAGCGAGCTTTGTGAATAGTACAGAGACTTTATTAGCCACAACCCCATTTAGTTTGGTGGAACATACAAGATAAGTAATAAAAATCTTTCCGGTAACCTCAAATTACATGGTACTTGAAATTCAAAAGGGTGAGTGAAATTAATCAGCTTCAATCAGCAGTATTTCACATTATACACATTTCAAATAACGTATATTTAGAATACTTCCGAACACAAAACATTACTACGATCTTATGGTTTCGAGAACCAATTACAGTTTTAATGGTCTATCACTCTAATCAAATTAGCCAAGAATAAGACAGTTACTAAGACACTTATGAATTATTACCTAGATATACTGTCTATGGGTTGATTCTAAATGTTATAGTTTGTTTGTTCCGGATAACAGTCTTGATAACTTTTTCCCATTGTGTTTAATGGGAACAGTATGTTGCTGGCTTTCTCAATTTGGATTCACATTAGAGATATAAAAATTTTTATTGAAGTAAATATCAACATGTGCAAACATACGTTTAAATGTCACAAGAAGCCAGGAAAATCTTATGACTTTACTCAACCATCGTATATGTATACTCAACCCCATATTTTATCCACAAGCTGTGGTGTCGATTCGCAGTTTCCCAGTTGTTAATGAAAAAGCAATTAATCCTAAACTATTTAATCGACAAGGATAATTAAATGGATGTTTGACAGTATGATTGTTGGGTTGAAAAATTGAACACAACAGCTCTCTATGATGATTAATTTTCAAATATTTTGGCATTGTTTATCCGAATTCTACATATGGCCGAAAAACAACAAAAAATCAGACATAGATGAACAAATAGAGGAATTATTCAAATATACCTCAAAGGTTTCAAAATAACAGAATCATCAATTTGATAATCAATCAAAGACTTGATAGATGAAGGTGTATCATATATTTGAGGATGTCTTAAATCCCATAATGCCATAATAGGTAAGAAATGTTGAAGAGTATAGGCTGGATCCCAGTTTAAATGAGTTTGGCAAAAAGGTACAATTTTTCTTGGATCTGGTCGTTTCCATTGACAAATAGTTTCCCGTTTAGGTAAGATCCAATTACGCTTTTCAAAACTAGTTAAGAATTCTGCAAATATCTAGAACATAAATTGTAAAAACAAAAGAAAATAGGAGAATGGAGTATTTAGCGAAATAAATGGTTAATACACTAATATTTTCGAGGTTCAATCAGTGGATAAAATATCGAATTTATTGATGAATGAGACAGACACTATATGTAAGTCAGAGATCTATGAACGATTACTTTACAAGACCATGCACATTTACAAAGGATACATAAATGAATGAAATATTATCGTTAGTTAAAAAATATCGTGGATCTGGTTTCATTCATTCAAATTTAAATAACTGGTATGCAACATTAATAGTTAACATAGAGTCAAACAGCTTTCTGTAACCAGATTTTTGATATTTGTTAACTAGTCGATTCGATAAGACAAAGAATTCATGTGAATAGTGATTCATTTTAAGCAAGTGGACTAAAGTGAAGGCAGTAAACAACAGAAAGTTTAGTCCATCACTGTTATTTATTGACTGCAGTTCCTTGACGATATTTCTGTGATCAGAAGTGAACAATTTGCAATAGGTGTCAAATGACTCAGTGTCTTGATGAAGACTGG